CTTGGGAAAAGGACTGGTTTTGCTTCACCTTAAGATCTAAACAAATCACAGTAATCTATGGGAAGCAAACAGTACAGAATTCAAGAATGTAGAATAATTCATGCCCGTCAAAGCATTTTAAAATAAAATTTAACTTTCATAATTAAAAAAAATGTGAATAAGTATTGGTGCCATTAAACCAAGACTTCTGTAAATCATTTGACATTCCAATAAAAGTGATCACTACACTACTATCACTGTAACTAATAATCTAGATTAAAAAACAGCTAACAGATTGCAAAAACTAAGTAAAGGAATTATTATACGAATGTTTTCCTTACTGTCCTGCAAGGATCTGGTTTTGGCTCACTACTGTTCAACAGTGAATGATCAATAATCTAGAAAAGCTTCAGTAGTCATCTGGGTAAAAACCTGAAGGGGGAAAAAAACCCCAAAACATGGATGAAGTGCTGCACAGTAATGGGAACAGGCTGCTGCCTTGGACTGCTTGCCTACAGTGGTTTTTACCGAACAATATTGCAAAGTCAGATACCACGGGGCTGAGGTGATGCAAGGAATGCACAGATTTGATTCACAAGATTAAAATCCAAATGCTAGAAGTTAGTGAATCCCCAAAAGGTTCTGGTAGACAGCCAAATAAGAATAGCAGAGCAGGATATAAAGCTTATTATCTATTTATATGATGTTAGTAAGGTCATTACTGTAAGGACACGTTCTGTTCTGGCACCTACTCTTCAAAAAAGAACATTCAGAAAATTAGAAATAGTTTAAAAAGCTGACAAAAAAACCCCCTAGAGGGATGAAGAAAAAAATTAAGAAATTCAATCCATTCATATTAAGTAAGATTGGAAGGTATTTTGATCATGGTATGTCCTGGATCAGGACATCTGCAGTAGTAGAACATCCTCTGAGAGAGAGATTGAAATCCAATGGTTGGGAGCCAAAGCGAGATGAACTCAAACGCAGGTTTGGGTTTTGGGTTTTTTTTCTGAGAGCACAGTAGTTGCTCAAATAACTTACAGAGGGGACTGATTCTTTTTCTGAAATTCTTAAAGCAAGACTTCTTTTTTTCTAAAATACATGCTTAACTTCTTGACATTATGCTTCAGATGTTGAAATCAGTCAGTGAAGTTTTGACTGTGATATCCAGAAAAGCAATCAGATATGAGTTCCCTCTACCTTTACCAACAAACGGAAATGCGAGCCTCTGATGGTCCTTACCACCGAAACCTTTGTTTCAATTGCTAATTTGCCTTCTACTTCTGGGAGCCTTTAGTCCAATACCGGTAGCACCCACTGTTTTTAAAGCAGTAGCAGTGCAACCCTGTCTCCAAGCAGAAGAACCTGGCTCTGTGGGCAAACCTTTGCTCACTAATTTGAATGAGTTGGTACAAACTAAAAATACAGGAAGGCAGAAAGAACTGGGAGACCCATACTGCAGTCCAATTCCCCACCAGAGGAGAAAGAAAGGAATTCTGTGTCCAGAAGCACACGCAAAGAGGGACTGGGATGAGAAAATCAGCTGGATCTGAGGAATTCAATGCAGCTGTTTGCTGGAAGCAATCACCCTTCTGATCCAGAGGTATATGCTTGAGAGACAGAGAATATGGCTTCTAATTCTTTCGTATGACCAACTGCTATATTAATGGAGACCCAAAAATCTTGAGATGGTTGTTAATGAAATACTAATGGTGGATGAAAAGCCAGAGGGAAAAAAAGGCCCCTGGTGGAAAGCAGCCAGCCCCAGTTGCAGAGCTAGTGCAAACTACAGTGGCTTCCCAAAAGCCGTTGTGGTGACCTGGTGTTTTAAAGCACTCAGATGCTGCTGGTGGAATGAATCCCGGCAGTGGATTTGTCATGGAGAAGATTCAAGCTGAAAAAATGATTCTTGCAAGTGGTAGAACCCTACAGATTAAGGCAAGAGACATTCAAAATCTTATGTAAAGCACACTGAAAATTTGAACGGGTAACATACTTCAGAAGACTTCATTAGAAAAATAACTTAGCAATATACCCCAAAAATACATGCACAGATGATTACCTTTGCTTCAGCCATCAGTCATTTGATACTAAGTCTCACTAAGACTGTTTTATGAGAAAACTTTGCAATACATTGTGCAGGTTCACAATTCTCCATTGAGCACCAAAAAATCCAGAGATTCTGCAAGAAGGATCAGGCTAATACTCTGGAAGAACACATTTAATTCAGCTACAAGGAACAGGAAAATTACACTATATTTTTAAATACATTTTATACTTCTATTTTTAAATAAAAGGCCTGCTGTTGTAGTCCCCATGTAGGTAGAATTCTTTTAGAATTTAAAAAAAAGTGCCTTAGTTAGGACACCAGGACAAAACTGAAGAAGTGTTCAGATATTTTATTATATTAAAACTTCCAAATTGAACTAGCAACTGATAAAACAACTCTCAGACTAAATTTTTCTAGTATGAGGTACCTTTTTAAAACCTCAAACTTCAGTGCAAACTCATAGCACTTATTTTACAAGTAAACTTAGAGCATCTTACACGTTTGTGAAAAGCTGCTCTTGTTACAGTAACTCCAAGGCTTAGCTAATCAAGCCTCACAACTAAAAAGAAAGAACCTAAATATGAATGTAAAAGAGCACACACATTTACTATAAACAAACGCAACAGAAACCAGAGGTTTGTGCATAGACTGCTTGCAAAATAACTCCACTTGCTGCTTCAGTATCAAAGCACTGAAGAACCACAACTTCCCAGTTATCCAATCCTTCTCCAGGGATTCTCACAACCAAAGAGTGAACTGTGCATTTTAGCTCATTCTTGATCATTTTGAACATGCAAATGTCAAGAACTCCTGGGAAAGGCACTGTATTAGGGAACCACAGGTATACTTGTAAGCACAAACCCCCATGCGATGTGTACTATGCACCTGTGTATATAATATAAATATGCACACATGCACATAATTAGAAATCTTTCTTCTTTAATACAACCATGTTGGGTCTCAAATTTCAGCTCTCTGATGCTCTAAAGTTTTGCTGAAAACACAACATTTGTCTTTAATACAAGAACAAACTTATGTCACAGGCAGAGTTGCTCAGTATGGGGCACCAAGTGGCAGTGCAGGCCTGCCCCAAGGTTGGTCCCAGGGAACTCAGCACCTTCCCCGCTGCCAGCCAGGAGGGACCACTGCTCCACCAGGCTCCACTCCACCTCCTCACACCACATCTACATGCTACCGGCAGGGAGGAGGGAACAGAATCAACTGGAAAAGAAACAGCAGATGAAAGAGGGACAAATAGGGAGCTCAAGATGCTAAAGAAGAGAGGAGGCAGCATCAGGCTCCCTTCCCCTGGAAGGGTTTTCCACTATTGCCCCGCTATCTGCAGCCACTGCTCCTCCAGTCTCACAATCCCTGCCACAGGCACAATCCACCCTTCAGCTGTGAACACTTCCCCCCCCGCCCCAGCCATGGCAATAATGCTCCCAAGCCTTTCATCGCTCTCTCTTCCTCCCTTTCTTTCTGAAAACCACAGCCAGGAGAGAGATCAGCTAGACAAAAACTTAAACCAGTGCAAATGTGAAATAACAAGGTAAAACAAGTATTTTGCTATTGCTGGACATGCTGCAGACATTGTGCCTAGTAACTGTGGCAATATCTAGCGCAAAAGAAACTTAGCATCAATCTTTTGTTTTTAAATGACATTCAACTCAAACATGCATAGGGAGAGTAAAGTTATTTTATTAAATCATGCACATCACGTGTGTTAGTGCAAATAGTTTAATCTGTACTCCAGAAATTCTATTGTATTTTTATATCTTTACAAAATAGATTTAAAACAATTATTTACTTTAAAAAATGTAATTCTGAAGTTAAGCATTTCAGAACAATATTTGCAATAACCTATATACAAGAGGTACTAAGTACCACTGGCATACGAGTGTTCTGTGGTTGGGTGGCTTCCTGCAACTGAAAAGGATGAAATGAATGAACTAAATGAAAATATTTACTTTCTACAAGTCACTTGTGGACTATTTTTTCCAACTAATAATCCTCCCATTAGCAAATCCCATGTAACTTAAGATAGAATCTTTAATTAAAGGACAATGACCCTTAAAACCTCACAGAGTAAATTATATGCTAAATTTCTATTTAAATATTTAAACTATCTGTCGATTGCCATAACATATTTTAAAGCCAATTCAACTTCTGAGATTACCTCCCTATTTTTGAAGTTTCCTTTAGCACAGCCATTTTACTTTACCATTCTTTAGCATATTAAGTCTTTAATAAACTTTTTTGACAGAACTGTTGAGCTGAACAAGACAACTACAGTCTACATTTAATTCAGCACTAACTACAGTGATTCCCACCAAAAGTCAGCAAATAGCAATAGTTATAGTACTTAGATAAGGAAAATAAACTTTGTAATGGGGACCACTGCATCATACTTACAGCCATGTGATGAGGATGCACAAAATTTTACTACCAAATTAAAATCATCTTGACCTGACAATACGTCATCAGGTATATGATTCCAATTTTGTAGTATTTTATGTATCATAGATTTTTTTCAGCTAATCACAGACGTACTGTAGCAGTTCTCTTAAAGTTACGTCAACAAAAGCTTATCTAAAGAGCTTCTCCAGCTCAAGTCAGAAAGTATCAAATGACTGAAAAAATAAATTGATACATGTGGTATGTGAGAAATTATTCATACTTTTAAAGAACGCATCTCTTTAAATATATGAAATTTAATAAATTACATTCAAACTAAAGTTAACGTAAGTTGAATCACTGCACTATGTCCATCAAATGACCAAGTACTTGCTCCCAGAAATACCTTAGTTCACTCAAGAACACACACATGCTTACACTCGCACACGCGCACACTAAATACTCTAGGCTGGTCTTCACCATCAATATCTCTATCTCTTTAAGGCTGGACATGAATTGTGTTTATTCCCAAAAATCATTAATAAAGCAATCCTTATCAAAGAAAAATATGCTTCCTTTGAAAGGCGTGATAAGAGAAGTTTTCTTAAGTCTTGTTCCCAACAGCTCAGTGACTAACAGCAAGTAAAATGGTATACTAGTTTTTAAAAAAAAAAAAATTTTGTACTGAAAGGCACTGAGCATACTGCATCTGTTTTCCAAGTATCTGCAAGGTTACTTGGCTTGGGTGTCCAAATCAGAAATGTGTTTTTCCTTCTAAATCTGGCAATCAGATTCTAAAGTAAGTGTCCACAACCCTAGCCATTATAAATAATTTGGTACCAAGAAGCCTACTTTAGGCCACCATTATAGTATTCAGAATCCCAACATACTAATTTAAAACTTGCATGACATTGTAAGCAAAAATATTGCTCACAGTATGATGAATCACAATTTTATTCCCTCTTTATAGACAGATACATTTTATACAGTTTAAAGCAAATGACCCTACTGCTGTTCTCACGCAGAGCTGTGCTGTATTAAGAGGTAAAAAGGAAGAGAATTAATCTGTTTTCCCTCAGTATATCAATGTTGCCAGCTTCTAAAGGGAGGACGGTGTATGGATTCAACAACAGTTCTCATGGAGAAGCTCTGGTTAGGCCTGGGTACAGCACCACGGCTGTTACAGCAACCAAAGCTGCCATCACAGGCATCCAAGGCCATTGTCTCTGTGTGGAGAGAAAAAAAAAATCAATATCATATTTGTTCTAATTCATACTAATCAGTTTACCCCGTGGTTCCTGAAAGTCCTGAGTACCTGTTGATAGGCATCACTAAAATGTTACCCATGAGCCCTACGGCAGGCTAGTCCTGACTTAGAGCATCACAGTAAACCATGTTTCTCTAGCAAAGGGAACTCCACAACTCTTCATGACTGAGGATCATCAGGAGAACTTTTGGCAGTTCCGTATTTCCAGCTTCCGTTACTGTACGCACCTCAAAGAAATCTGCTATTAAACATGTGAGGGCTTAAGATGTATAAACATTGCTTGTGCCAAGTAATCACTAGACACAGGTTTATGCAGTACTGATATCTTTAACTTAGCTTTTGAGTGTTTAAATCCAGATCTATGAAGTTAGTTTGTAGCAGATCCTAACAACATCATTTCAAATGGATTGTCACAACATTTCATGACAGCAATAGCATTTTAAGAGGAGGACACACTGAGAGACGTTAGAGAAAATGCAAGCTGAGAGTTCAGAATACAAACCAACCACCTATTTCTCGTCTTTTTTTTCCATCTTCTTCATAGCAATAGTGAGAAAAATTAAACTGTTTAGAGCCAGAGAGGAACTTCTTAGTCCATAAATAGGAACCAAAGCTTGTTGATTTTTATTATTAGAGGCAAACTCTTCATTTTTCATAGTTAATTAAGCAATTAAGTTTTCTTACAGGCCCTAGCATCGCAGCATTGTGCAAAAGGTAGCCCATTTGCTAAAGACAAACTGAGACCAAGTTAGAAGAGGCACATTCAGAACCAGTTAGAACGAAATTCATTGTTAGAATTAAAGAAATCACACAGATGTTAAATGATTAGTTGATTGCTCAGCTCACCAGTATCAACAGAATGGCATATTAAATGAAGGGTTTGCTTCAGGTAAAGAAATACCTGTGAGCATTTCACCATGCACTATTTTATACAGAAATGGCACAAACAGGTGAGGGACAAACATACATTGACTGAACAGTAGTGCTTGTACCTTTCGCTACCACAATGGGCCGTAACACCAATACAGGAAAGCCAGGATTAGGCCGATGAATACGGCTGGGACGGGTTGTAATATGGAAGGCTAAAGAAGGGAAGGGATATTAAAAATCACTTTGTGCTATAAATCAATCAGGTAAAGATGATTTAGAGAGGGGAAAATAAGTCAGTGAGTTTTGTTTTAATTGAAATGTATTAAAGACATCTAACACAATACAGCATTATCTAATCTGGTATACAAAGTTAGTACACCATTCTACTCAAATGAACAGGGATGTTTAAAAATAAAGGGAGGTAAGCAGAAAATGTTCTAAGAAACCTCTTGTCACAACTTGGAATTTAGCACTTAAAAACAATACAAATCTTAAACTGATTTGCCTGTATCTTATTTATAGTTGGTTTTAGTTTTTCCAAGTGATAGGAAATCCCGTCTGGATTTCTTAAGGCAGAAAAGACTCACACCAGATATTGAGTTTTTCAGCTACTTCTTCATTCCTTGCAAGTTAGCCTTTCCCATTTTCCATCACCAGCCTCCAGGAAAAACAATCTTTTTCCTCCATTAGTAAATCAATTACAACTATGTCCACAGGCAAACCCAGTAGTTCAGACATTTCCATGAGATTGTAACATAACTGTACAATCAACACTAAGTTACTATAAAGCAGGGAAGTACATTTCTATTAGAGATACCACAAAGATCAGCATCTCTGGCAGGTCATCAGCCTTGTGACCAAATGCAATTCTGAAAATCAATCGAATGTTGCAGCCAGGCCAAACTACCAGCTGGCAAGATTGCAGGGTTCGTTTAGCTTATGGCCTCGTTAGAGCCACCTACACATTTTCTCAGCTACATTCAATTAACTGTAAACTACTTTACTTCACATTCTGGATGGATAGCCTCTATCCTTAATATGATAAATTAAAAGCAAAAATGGACCTAATTTCTTTTTAAGCTGTCCTTGGAAGACATGTCTTTTCGTTGTATCTTAGCCTACATATTCGTGCACACACACAGACACACAGAGGTTAAGTTCAAACCATGCCAAATATTTTCTTAAGAACTTTTTTGTGCTGAAGCCACCTTGAATTTGTTCAAACAAATAAATAATAAATTAATGTTTGAAGACTTTCTAAAACATTGTGATTCATAAATAAAATCTCATCCTTATGAATTTGTAGAAGTCACTTAATCATAGAACCTCCAATATGGTTCAAAACACAGGAATCTTAGAAGGTATTCTAGTCTCTGCCATTCAATTCAAGTTTGTTTTAATCAAGGCAAATATTTAATAGACAAATTATGTGTAACTATTAAAAGTAATTTTCATGCAGGATTATTTTTGTCATTGGTGCCACAAATCAGAGTGCCACCTTCCCCAGAAAGCATGTTGGCAGAAATAATCACAGCAGTGTTCAAAAAAGTGCCAGAAGTTTAAGTCAACCAGAGCAGCTAATGTTCTCAAACCAGTCACATAAACAAATCTGTCATAAAGCGCATCAGGAAATAATCAGTGACTCAAGCATGCAAGCACAAGTAGTATACCACACTGCTAAGCGTTTCAGAACACAACACTTTTTTTTTAAATTAAAACTTAAGTATAAAGACTTAATATTCAAATGATATCCCAAATGGAGTACAGAAGCCTTGTCTTTTCTAACATCTGTTAGTTCACTGAACAATTCTATGAATTGATTTTTTTTAATTTTTTAAATTTATTTTTTAAGTTACATGCATTCATGGATGTGGCATCTTGGCAAATGAAACAGATGATAAATATCTACCACATTAAACGAAACTGCCTCCAAACGATTAAATTTTCCCCCTCATGAACTTATCAATCTATAACAAATCTCCTTATTGTCGAGGAGCATTTAACTAGGTGCTTCATTAAAAATGTGCATCTTGTATTAGAATATGAAGATATGCAAACTCAGATACAGATGGGCTGCAAAAAGCAACAAATCCCACAGTGGGAAGTCACTTTTGGTGGGACACTGTCCTCTGAAATGAAGTAGCAGATAATGATTCCAGCATAAGGGGACAAAGGTACTTGAAAAATTTGACCTCAGAACTCAGCCCAGTATCCATGATGCTTCAAATAATCCACAAGATAGATACGTTTTACATTACTGATTGAGAGTAATGCTTGCTTGGACAGCAAGCTTGTCCTGCAAGTCCTTAGATGGTTGGATGCTCCTCTTCATACCCTGACCTCCAGGTTTCAACTGTCATAACTAACTCCTCCTCTGGAAGCAGATTTTAGCAACTGCTGTGGATCCTGATTTCATTTAAATACTCACCTCAAATTCTTCCTAAAATTTCCCTTACCTTGCAAGCCACTTTCCACTTTCATCAGGTGCTCCAATTCCCTTCACACTATTTCTTCCCTCTACTATCCCCCTTTTTCCACTGATCATTTTAATCCTGAGGTTAATGTTTTTAACAAAGGAGAAAATCTCACATTCACAATTATTTATTCAGTGTGATCTCTTCTACTAGAATGGGAGTTTTTTGGTTGGTTGTTTTTGACTTCTGCCTACTTTAGTAGCTCAATATTATCTGAGCATTGCAGAAGAATTCAAAGCAGGAAACAGGTTCTTTGACAGCTCTACTCTATTAAAGGTTTACATTCAGTAATTGTCTATGGCAAGAGTATTCACACAAATTTTGGGCATCTAGCAGCCAGCTGACTTTAGAGGATGGTACCTGTAAAACTTTCTTCATAGTCAGAGAAACAGTTTCCTAAAAGGCTATTACAGAGCATCTGTTTCTTCCTGTTTTGTACTGTCCACTACAGGAGTTGCTCACCCTGCACTGATCAGAGGCAGTACAGGAAGACAATAAACCAGCCATCCTAGGGTAGTAAGGTATCTAGAATAAGGCTATGACCACCTTATAATGTGTCTGCCACACCCTTAACATTTGGAGGATTTCAGAAATCTCAGTATAAAAAAAGCTGTCCCTAGCTGTAAACTCAATTCTAATGATACAACCTCTCAAATTAATTGCAACAGAACAGAATATTTTCATTAGTGAATAGAAAGGACAGTTCAACTGCACTGTTTAAAGCATGAGCCAATCAGGGATAACCACTGTTAAGAAGCATGAGCAAGAGTAAGGAGGGAACATCTGTTGTAATAAACACTAATAAAATAAAGGCATCTTGAAAAAAGTTGCTTAATTCATTTGGATACAGGTTTCTCAGCTTTTACCCGTGTATCATTCTCTGAAATTAAAAAGGCCATATTTAAACCTGTCACACAACTGTAAATTTAACTTACATGCGTAATTGTAACAGTGTAATGACCTGCAAATTTGCACAGGTAGTACCAGAATGGAATTTTGCATATAATACGGTACACAGCCTTTTTTTTTTTTTAAAGTCTGTCCTTTTCTATTGGACACTTACATACTCCCTCAATCAACAGAATTGCCAGTGTCATAACTGTACTTCCCCACATATTTTGTACAGACTTACGTTGTTTCCTTTTTCTTGTAGCAGCTTCAGGTTTTCTTTACACTGTTTGAGCTCTTCTGTGAGTGACTGATTTTCTTGTTCAGCCATCTCATACTTTGCCTTCAGCTCTGAGAGCACAGTCTGTGTTCTTTCATACTAAAGACAAAGAGAAAACAGTCCGTGGACTCCTGGACACCCAACACATGCTCACATTTGCTTAGCACACAGCTTCCTTTCCTGTCATCTGCCTAGAGTAACTCATCTTGGATCAGTACACTCCTTTCATAAAAACAGGGCAGAAAAATCTTAGTTTAGATTTTCTTTTTTTCTCAATGAAGATTTTGTCCTTGACTTTGAAGGGCTATGATTACCAAAAAAAAAAAAAAGGAAATATGAAGTAAATGCAAGGCCTTAACTCATCTCTCCTACCAAACAATTACTCATTTTCATATTGGAAAGGACTGTAAAAACTATGAAGACAAAACAAGAAACAGGGGAACAAGGAGACCTTTACATTTAAATAGTGGTCTTACATCTAGGCTGTAGTTTAAATACCTACAACAATCAAACAGGTGCAAAAATCAACATTCTGTATAAAGTAAAACAAACCCTCTTCCCACACAGCAAACTCAAACATAAAAGTAAGAAAGGCATTAAAAAAAAAAATATTATGCCTTCTTACAATCATGCCATAATCCTCAGCATGGGTCAAGTACAAACATACTGGGTGAATGTGTCTCAGGTTCCTATAGTATGGGCAGCTTCTCCTTTTTCAAACTCACATTCAATTTTTTTCTATAGATCACAGATTTTCTAGTAGTCCTCATGACAGGGATTAGTAAGGACAGAACCAATGATTTTCAGTACTAGCATTTACCACAAATTTAAAAGATTAGGCATCTTTACAAATACATCTGATTACAAAAACACAGACTAACAAGACATGGTTTTTCAAATTCTGAAAATGGTAAGGAATGTGACATGGATGAATTAATGACAAAGCAAAGGGTTGCAAAATAAACTAGAAGCAGTGATTGGGGAAAACTTCACTCAAAATGCTCATATAAGTAATTAATTGTTGGAGGCTATGGCCTTCTTCCAGACATCATCTTTAGAGGTGAGGCAGGTGAAATATATGCTTCAAATGCTAGCTTTTCCTTATGCACTTGCTAATCATCTTCAGCAGCTTAGAGATCCAGTAAGATGAAAGGAGACCTTTGTAAAGAATGTGTAGTCTCTTTGTCAAATAAAAGAGTTGAAATCTAACTAGGAAGATCATACTGACTAAAAAGAATTTATTTTGAGTCATAACGGCTAATGAAGCTCTATACCACGATGTCCAGGAAGACTCCAAATAAGGGTTCACCTGTCTGAAGAGCTTAAAAGTAAATTCATTAAGGTAATGCACAAAAGTACACTCCAGGAAGGTCCCAAAACACACGCAAGTCATTTTGTCTGAATCTTCCTTTTTGGATTTAACCCCCAGTTTATATATTGTTAGCTACCATAAAAGTACTTACAATAAAAGTATGAAAATTTTTCATTACTAGAAATCTTACATTTTTCCTTTTCTTTTAAGCTCAAAAGTCAAAGTCATTGGGCATTATATTCTCTCAAAACAGAAATAATGTTTCATGTTACCTCTTTCTGAACATCTTTTGCTTGACTCTCAGCTTCACTGAGTTGGCTTTTTAGACTAGCTGCATCCCGTTGATGTTTTTCTCTCAAAGATCCCATCTGATTTTCAAGTTCCTTTCGAGACATTTCAAGAACACTTATATCGCTGGTTAGCGCTAAACTCTGTTTCTGAGAGCTGAAAAACAAATTCCAATTGATTCCTCATGTGTTTTAAATTTAAACAAACAAGAGATTTTTTTAAAGCACTTTTCATCCTCCTAAGCTTCACACATTATTTTTATTTAATATGGAAATATCAGCTTAGAGCAATCATAGAAGTGCAGATCATCATTGTCTCCCTATACGAAGTACTGACACAAAAGGCTGGCCATAGTCTTGCTTTTAAATATGTGCACAGCTTAGTGTGTACAATTAATCATAATCTATAATTTAAATAATTTATCATTCATATTTTTTAGTTTATTTTACTTTTTATTATTCACTAAGTATTTATTATATACTCCAAAGTATTTTGAAACAAATTTGTAATGAGAAGTCTGTCCAAGGTTGTTAGAAGTATTTCACTTATTTGCACACACGCTTCTTTGCTTACTCCAGTTGCATAAGCTAATAGCTAGTATATTCTTCAAGTGTTTATTACAATTGTGTAATAGTCATAGAAAGCTCTAAATTAAGCCATTACAAACTTCAGTGTAATAACCAAGTAGTGTTAATTTGTGCCTATGCAAGACAAAGAAAAATAAGGGAGAGATCTTGCTATCTCCATTATGCAAATCCTGTATTTGCTCATGTGACCTTCCATATGAAAAAATATGAGTAGAAATCAGAGCATGATGGAACGAAAAAGAAAAGTTTGATTCCTGTAAAATAACACATTACTTCTAGAAATGTTTTACTGTGGGAAATTTCCATTTTTTCAATTAGATCTTACAGCAGTGAGGAAGCCGGGGGGGGGCGGGTATAAAATCTAAGTATGATGGTAAAATTCAGATCTACAATAAAACAAACTTGCTGTCCCATATTTACTTTGTGAATTAAATTCCGGTATCTGAAACTGGAAAACAACATAATAATGGCAGATGAAGGGATTAGAGGGGAAGTTACTTCCAGGCAGAAGATTTAGATAGCTTTTAGCAATGATGTGTGCTCAAATAACAAAAGAAATAAAGTAAAATACAAATAGTCCTGCGCTCTAAAATCCCTCCCAAAAGATATTATGGCGCTTGCAATAAAAAGATTTGTATTTTTCTGTTAAGCAAAATATGATATAGAAAACTGTTTCTGCCTATCATTACTATTCATAATGTGACAGGCTTTCAGGAGACACCATACTATCTGAGAATCATTTTCCAACCCTGAACACTGAGAAAATTTTAGGTTAGGAAATCTATGTGGTTTATTATCTTTTAAGTAGAAGGATAACTGTTAAGTCTAAATACTTCCACAATGCACGCTTCCAAGTCCTTATTAAAAGCAGCAAAATAAGTCAGGTTACCTTATAACGATATAACATGACTGATAAGTAATACAGAAGCATTTGCAAAATAGAAAAAACTAGCTTAGTATAACAATTTGGCATGAAAGTGTGTTCTGCCCAAAACTATGATATAAATAAAATATCAATACATTTATTGAAACACCATCAGACATTTAGTACCACTTTTGGGAAGAATAAACAACAACAAAAAAAATCTTCAGCTACTATGATACCTTCCTAGACAAATCCATTGTGCCCTTACCTAGAAAGCTCCTTCTCTTGTCGTTGAAGTTCAGATGTAAGCAAAGTATTTTCCTTCCTTAGTGTAACACACTCAGCTTCAAGAGCACTCCACTCTGCCTTCAACTTTTCAAGTTCACCTGCAACGAATAAAATTTAATTGAACTGAGTAAAATTATTTCATGACTGCTTCAAGCATCACCAGCTAATAAATGGAGGAAAAGCTGGTATCAGTCATAAATCTCAAATATATTTGATTATAATCACGTCACATGAATTCTCTCAAGCATCTATAAAACATTACCATATCTTCTACTGTTATGAGGTTTGTGAGCCATTAAACAAGCTAGTGCTTTTTTTTTTGTGAGCTTTTTTCTAAAGCGCAAAGGAGCAGAAAACAGTCTGTTTATGGGTCTACTCTAGTATTTTAGAAATAGTGACAGAAAAGTGTATTTGAAGAAAATAATTTCCCAGACTTGAAAATAGCAAACAACTGGAATCACTAGATACCACGCGTCTGCTGCAAGGAACAGAATGTTTAAAGCAACAACTAAAGGGTGAAAATGAGACCTTTTAAATAAATCAGTCCCTGGTAAAATAGATAAAAATCAAGGTTACACACATATTAGTAATATAATGACAGAGACTGGAGTCTGAACTGGAAAAAGGCTCCTCTGGCAACTTCACAAAGATTAACTAATTCAGAATTTAAAGCATATTTTGTACATGCCAGTTTCTCTTCGGCATGTACAAAATTTCAACATGAGCTTTTGAACTGTATTAGCAGATTCTCCAAGACCTGAAGCTATAGGCCTGGAGTAGCGGCTCTCAACCAGTCCTCATGAGATGTGGGTGCATTACAGGTGAAGTGAAACACAAATGAAGGAGCCTAAAAGAAGCCCTATACTGGCTCAGCACAACATATTTGTATCTCTCTACATCATGTGTCTAGAATAAAGCTTTAATTTTAAATTTATTTTAACATTTTTATGTTAAAAATGAGATGGTACCAACAGTTTTATTAAGCCATAACATACAGTTATTTGTCTCAAGTGAAGCTTTGCTAGAAAAATTAAAGGGTCAGAAGCTACCCATTTACAGGCTTAAATTATACAGAAGTTACACAAGTCCTTTTGGAAATCTCTGGCAATATCAATCTCTCAAATAGTACAAGTTTTCCATCTTTTCTAAGTGGAATTATACTTGGCCTACTTTTGGTATCAAAGGGTACCTAAGCTAATTTAGGCACAATTGACAATTACTACTTAATGAAGTATACAAAACAGCTTTTGTAACACTACAAGCCTTGATACACATATATAAACACACACATGTGTATATATATAGACATAGTAAATGACTAGAGAGACACAGACAAATAGCAATTTGAATAATTGGCATCCATCAGATTGAGAAGGATGCTACTGTTAGCACTGGTCTGTGACATCCTTTTAAACAAGTACCTTTTAAGCGAGTAGCCTCTTCCTTCTGCTGATCCTCACACTGCTGACATCTGAGCTGAAAACTGGCTTGCAGACTTACAATTTCTTTTTCATAATCTGAAGCATCTTTCCGCCACCGTTCCAGTTCTGCTCGCACTGTTTGCAGCTCGTCTTGCAATGCAGAAATATCTGTATCTCGTTCTGATGCTGCCTTTTCTGCTACTTGTTGAAGTGACAGAATCTCATTTTGAGCACTGGCTAGTTCATTTCGAGTGCTTGAAATTTCATTCTCCTTCTCCTCACGAAGATTCTCAGTATCTTCTTGTAACCTTTGCAACTGAGCTGGAAAGCATAACATTAATGTTAATATTTTTAAAAACTGTACTTACAGAAAATCTAAAAAACTTAACTCCCTTTCTCAACTTGTTTATGTTTAATAGGACTAAAGAATCCTAATGCAATTGAAAAAGATAGTAATCTTGTCAAATGCTGTACCCTTAAAGAGACATGTATGTGGAGTCCTGTATTACAGAGTGTCAAAAGAAACAAGAACTATGGTTGGACAAAGCTTTCTTAGACAGGGTTGCGTTATGTGTGTGATACTAAAGCAACTATCAAAAATCTGAAACCAAGATTTAGATCCAACTTCATTGTAAGCAAAACAAGTGTTACAGAACAAGGACACTGTGGGGTTCAGGGACAAGAGGAAAAGCAAGAAAGCTTCTGCGACAAACCAAACAGTTGCAAAGCTACATTGGAAATGTTTGCCTGTTCAGCAGTTAACTTGTGATGTCTAAATATTTGAGGCACAGAGTCTAATTTCTACTCCAGTCTCAACACATAGTAAAGGAAATAAAAGTTACTTTACTTCTTTGCAAAAAGCATTTTTCAAACTGCAAGATTAATTTTGAATTGAAAGGGACAGCTGCATCGAATATACTGAACTGTAAGAAGTCCTTTAGCATCTACATTTTACTGTAAATGTGCAGCAGTCACATACATGCTAGGTTATTTTACATTTCTGCCTGAAGCAAATCTTATAAATTATTCCCATTCAAAACTGTTTCATTACTAAACACATCTCTGAGCACAACTATTTTTCATAAACACATGCAAATAGAATCCAGTGCAAATAGTTGGAAAAAAAAAAAGTACAGTACAGAGGAAAGGGAAGCATGAAAGAAAGAATAACAAAATTATAGTTAAAACCCTGACTGATGGAAACAAAGTGTTTAATTTGCTTTTTAAAGAAGACATATCAGAGTTCGCATGTATTTCATTGATTTTTAACATGGGAAAAAGCAATTACTAAATTAATGAAGAATTGCTCTGAGAAGAAAAGTGCAAAGTTCTTAACATCACTTGAAAAACTAATACAAGATACTGTAGAGGGTCAGAATTACACATTTAAAGTTATACGTTATAGAAGCAAAGGGCAAAAAAGGACAGTGGAAAGCACGGGGAAGATAACCAAGGCTGAGTAACCTTCATAGATTTCTTGTATTGATTTTTGTTCTCTCAATCCATTACAGAAGATGACACGGAGAATGTGAGCGAGTTGTGCTGTAAACTGATAGCATTAAAACTACTCAAGAGAGACTTGCACTTTCATGACAACTATACTTGAAGTTTTTCAGTAGCTGCATATACCGTAATATAGGTAGAATTCATATACAGGTAAAATCTAGAAACTTTGCTGTTAGTTGATGTACAGTGAAGAAAAACATAACTTTTTTTCCCCTCCTCTAAACAGGCTCCAGCAAGACATTTAGCTCATTAAATAAAGAACCTATGAATTACCCAATTCCATACTCTGGAGGAAAAAGACAGTATGGGAAAAACCATGATAGTTATTATATATTGTAATATGTAAGAGCTATTATAGACAACAGTAAGTTAGATTTCACAGCAATTCTGTGTAAGATGAAACAGTATCTGTTCCATAACAAAGACATTTGCAGCATGATGGATTTTTAAATATATGTGAACAACAGGAGGCTTACTACCACCTCATTTGTTCGGAAATAGTTTCTAAAGGATTATACTAACAGAATAGCAAACAAAGTAGTAGATGAGAACAACCCGACAATAATACAACACATTACACATTAACAATTGCCTTTCCATGTATCCTTACATTAGAAGCCTTGAATCTATCAAACCAATATGCTAGGAAACCACGTTTCTAAAACACCAAGAATTATGACTTGCTAACACAGCAGGTGCCCATTAATGAGCAAATGAGTGATTTTTCAAACCATATCTTCCTGATACTATTTTCTTTATCAAGCC